CCAGTCCCGCCAGCCGGGAGCAGGGCAGAGGCAGCCGTCGTGGGAGGCTGAGCCATGGGACAGGACCGGGCTCGACCCAGAATGACCAGCACCACCCCACCCCCTCCCACGAGGACACTCTGAGGCCGAGGGTCAGCCTGGAGTACTCGGAGGACGCACAGGGCACGCAGATGGCCCGCAGCCCGCTGGGTGGAGGTAGGCAGAGGTGTTAGCAGGCCTCCTCCAACTCCCGGGGTACACCACCAGGTTGCCTGCCTCCCAGGGGGCCCAGCTCCACGTCAGGGAGGGCCTCGCCCTAGGGGCAGCCACTTCTCAGTGCTTCAGAAAATACCAGAACAGAGTCCTTGCCTCCGGGCATCTCTGGCCCAGTGGACTCAGCCTGGCTGTGAGTCAGAACCCTCCCCACCCAAGCCAGGACAGAAGGATGCTGGGGAGCCGGGATGACGGATGCGGGGCACAGCCTGCAAAGGCACCCAGAGAAATGCAACGTGACCTGGTGGACGTCAGCACCCCAAGGGACCTGAGTGACGCTGACCTGCTCATCCAGAAGAGCAGGCGCAGGGAGGCCAGGTACCACCAGCCTCTCCGCACAGGTGTCCCTCATGCCAGGCTGACCCTGTCACATGGCAAGGAGGGCGGCAAAAAAACTCCAGCTCACAGAAACTGCTACGACCTCTTCCTCCAGGACCCCAACTCCAGGCCATGCTGTGCAGCCCGCCAGCCTCGTGGCCTCATCCCGGGCACCCTGGGGTGGCAGGCCTCCTGCAGTCCCGGTGCGCCTGGGGCTCCTCTGTCTGTGCCTCCATCCTGGGCGCCTCCGGACGGCACCTACAGGTGTGCGTCTTACGTTTCTCTGTCACCTTGGCTGGCGCCATTAGTCACACGCAGACAGTGGCTACACCACAGCCCAGAGCAGCGCACTGACTGTAGGCAGCCACCGTCACCTCCGTGAAGGCTGGACACAGCGGCAGGAGGGCAAGCACGGCCTGGCACTCTGGCGGAGCCTCCCCTGGAGCGGGCAGGGGCACTGCAGGTGTCTCAAGCACGTGTCACAGTCCCTTCCCCCAGACGGAGAGCGCAGTGCCCGCTCCCCCAAGCACCATCTACAGACTTTCACTAAGGAACAACCAAGAGTTTGTGAAAAAGAGGAATCATAGACCAGGCAGTTGGCATAATGGCTATGTTGCTGGACTCTCATGTAGCAGACCACAGTTCGAGTCCTGGACCTGGTGGCTTAAACTCACACCGGGTGCATGCACCCTACAGCAAAAACCTCTCTCAAAAAAAAAAAAAAACAAACAAACAAAAACAAAAAACCCTGACCAGGGCCAGTAGGTGACGTGATGGTTATGTATTGGATCCTACAGGGCCGAGTGCACAGTTCAAGTCCCAGCCCAGGTGGCTTGAAAAAAATGCCGGGCTCATATGCGTGTGTGCCCACACTCCCAAGGAAGATGGAGAAGGGCCTGCAGCACGGCCACCCCCAGGAGTGACTCCTCACTCTATATACAGAGTGCACGTGTGCCCCAGAGCAGAGCAAAACAAGAACCACAGACCTGCAGCAAAGCAAAGTGGGGGAGTCGTGCACAGCAGCTGGGCCAGCCCTAGTGAATCGATGGAAGAACTTAAGGCTCAGAGAGGCTAAGGAACTTCCATAAACATCACAAGTCATGAGGCTCAAAGTTGCTCAGATTTCGGCCCAAGGATTTCCCCGACCACGCATGTCCTCAGCGGACACAGGCCTGCACAGTTAGAAGAGAAGCTCAGCTGCTCCGGTGCGACGTCCCCGAGGACCAGCAGAAATGATACCGACTCCTGCAGAAGCGAGTGGTTCTCACACCACTCCACTGTAATTACGGACGTGGTCAGAGGGAGCCCCATGTGCACCCAGAGGCCACACAGCTGCGACCCCTTCCCCATGCACCAGCGTGCTCCAGTAGAGGCCTACTGACACACAAGCCCAGGAATTCAAGCCCCGGGACACTCCTGCCACATCAGCATCTCAGAGATGAGACTGGACCGAAGCGCAGACTCAGGCCTCCAACGCTCACAGTCATCCCCGGTCGTCCCAGCCCAGGCGGCTTCCTGGGAGCCCTTCTCAGCTGATGCCCACACTCCACAGCCCAGTTCTGGCCAGCCGGACGTCTCCTCCACAGTGTGCAGCCTCGCCCCCTGGCAGCCCCAGGCTCCCACGGAGATCTGGATCTTGCCAAGGTCGAATGCACCACAGCAATGTGCAGCTCTCCTCTGCAGACCCACATCCCGTGAGCTGGGAATGCATGAGGACTGGTCTGACGGAGGCCAGCTGGGACCCCACAGATGTCCTTATAGGTCTAGTGGGATCTGCCTGTACCTGGAGGCACCAGTGTTCCCGGCCCTCATCAGGACTGGACAGACAGGAAGAAGACGCCCTTGCTCTCGGTCACCCGCGTCACCGCCCCTCACATAGCTTCTTTGTTTGGAAAGGAATGCGACATCCCTGCCCCCACGGACCGGAAGTATGCCTCCCACACCTGCTACCAGGTGATGCCTGTCCTGCAGGAAGGCTTCTGGCCACACGCCCCAGGCACTCAGCCCAGCCTTTGGACACAGGAGTCTCCCAGCACTCCTCACCTTGCACTGCAGGATGTGTCAAACTCGGTTTCCTTTCCCGCCCAGCACCTGGGCAGGAGGCAGTCTTGGCCTCATTCACCTGACAGCTCTTCAGAGTCTGGACTCCCAGCTCCTTTCTCCCGCTGCAGTCTCACCTGTATTCTAGGGTCCAGTTCCTCCTCCTCTCTCGGGGACAATTTGGCCTCACTGCTGCTGCTTCCACCTCCTCCAGGCTCTTCTGCAACCGGGCTCCTCGGGACTTCGTCCTCTACGACCTCTCGCAGCTCCCCCTGTGGGGTCTCCCGGCCCCCCCGAACCTGTCTGAGCTCAGCCATGCCGACCGGGAGAGGGCACAGCCCTAGGCACGGGACAGGATTGGCATGCTGGGACCAGGGCCCCCACGTGGGGGTTCCTGGGCTCTGGGCAGCGAGAAGGCTTTCCTTTATCAAACGGCAGAAAAAACCGGCACAGGAAGAACCACCCTGGGTCAGAGGCTGCGACTGGAGTCGTCTGTGGGCTTCCCAGAGCTAAAACCTTGTCTGTGCGGAAGTTCTTTCCTCCTCCACAGGGAGTCCACCAAGAATGCTGGGGACCGGCAGCTCCTCCGAGGGAGGAGGCAAAGGGGGCCTGGATCCTGGGCCGAGGCCTGCGGGAAGCACCATTCGGGAGAGCGGAGCAGCGCCTCCAAGCTGTGGCGGCAGCTGGACAGAAGGCGAGGCCCGAGCAGAGGCTGCGGGACGGGCGTCTCGGGGAGCTGCGGGGAGACCAGGGTCCTGTCAGCGTCGGGACCTCCGTCCAGCTTCTCCCAGCCTCCGTCCTCGCAAGCGCTCCAGCTCGCTCGAGCCGCACGCCCGTGGCCGACAGCCCACCCCGACTTCGTTCCCGGCCGTCGAAGGCTTTGGCCCGACCCCTTCCTTCCCGTCCCAGCTCCCTCGCCCCTGCCCCTCCCAGAACCCCGCGCCCCACCTGCTCCTCCAGCCCGTCTTCCTCGGGTCGCACCCCGGCCCGGCCGCGCCCACCCGCCTGGCGTGGGTGCAGCCCCGCGCCCTGCGTGAGCCCAGGCCCCTGCCCGCCATCCTGCGCAGCAGGCGCGGAGGGCCGTCTACACGGCCTCACCTCGGCTTACCTCCTGCGCGCGGAGCTCCCGGGCTGCAAACAATCTTCCCCCTCCCTCCCCGCAACGCGCCGGACCAACCAGAAACCACAGGGCCGAGCGGAAGCGGAAACGCACCAGCCGGTGACGACGCCTCGCGGCCGC